AGGCGTTGAAGTGCTGCCTGGTAGAAGATTAGTTGATCTTGATTATGCGGACGATATCGTCTTGCTTTTCGACCATGTTTCGGCTGCACAATCAACCCTCAATAGCTTGCCTAGATTGATCTCATTATTTGGTATGCACTTCGCACCTTCAAAGTGCAAAGTGTTACTGCAAGACCACCAGCCACTTGATGACCCGTTGACGCTTACTAACGAGGAACTCGAGGTGGTTGATCAATTCCCTTATCTTGGCAGCTGCATCAGCAATGATGGGCGCATAGAAACTGACGTCAGCTCACGCATTGCAAAAGCCATAGTTGCCTTCTTGAACCTGCGGCATCTTTGGTGACAGAAGGGAGTTTCCCTCCATCTGGAAGACCATGTATACAAGGCCACGGTGAGGGTCGTTCTACTCTATGTTAGCGAAACTTGGCCCCTTCGTTCTGAAGATCTGAGGCGTCTTCAAGTCTTTGATCATCGTTGTCTGCGAAACATTACTGGTGTCGGATGGCACCAGCGTGTCCGCAACGATGATGTGCGTAGGCGAGTACTAGGTGGTGATAATCATGCTAGCTCCCTAGAACAACAGATAGCACTGAACAAGTTGCGTTGGCTCGGGCACGTGCTACGTATGCCTTGTCACCGCTTACCTAGGAAGGCCTTGTTTAGTCTGCTGGGTGTAGGGTGGCGCAAGGCTCGAGGTGGACAGAAGTTGACTTGGCAGCGGGAAATGAAGTCACTGACGACCAAACTGGGTGCCGTTGGTCCGTCTCGCCTTCCGGGCTGGAGTCCACCTGACGTCCTGTGCTTGGCTCGAGAGTTTACAGGACATGGCTCGCAGTAGACACCAGTGGCACATCTGCTGCCGTCTCCTAATCGGATTGTCTGTTTAAAGTGTGTTTGGTGCTGAGTTATCTGTGGGGTAATGGCTGATTATGACGCGTGGCATTGAAAGCCGCAAGGAAGCTGTCTCGCCGATGTCACCTTATCTTTGCACGATAGCCTGCTGTTTGTGACGGTATGTTGTTAACACAAGGTGTAGGCGCCTTGACCCTGAATGTTTGCTTTGCGTATTAAGATTTTCAGGTACGTCCTCCTCTCCCTCATTGTATTCTTTATTTCGTAGATCGCGGAGCATCAGTTCAACTGGCTGAGGTACTGCTGTTGATGATGATGATGATGCCACTAGGTAGTTTTCTGAGCAACCCAAATTCCTCCCCAGTTGTTTTCACTGGGACAACCAGGAGCATGAAAAACGGTCACTACGACAAACATTTTCCTGCCTCTCGCTATGGGACACTTTCTGGACCTCGAATACTCAGTGTGGGGACTACCGATAGTGCTGCAGTGGGGAATCCTAAGCTACGCGTAACAGTATAACTCACTCCACTAAAACCGGATGTCCTCAGGTAAATTAGGTGAAAGCTTATTAGAGTTACTAGGTTTGCTGTTGACTCTGCTTTGCCGTGGGTCTCCCAGCCGCTGATGGAAGACACTGTATTTTATTGAAAGTTCGGAAACATCGGCAAAACGCCTTGGTATGATCAGAATTGACGTCTATTCATATGCGGCGGACATTGGTAGATATCCATGCCACCTGAAGCTTTAAATGGCTTCTGTTCTATTTTGAGCGACATTGGCGGATATGGGAAGGGACATAGAAACTCGTAATGCAATCGCCATTAAGGACGGCTCTTCGCCATGTCAACTTGCGACGCCAGCCCGGAGACATCAACTGACACCCAACGTCTTAACCAAGTCATCACTTGCTCTTCTCTTCTATCCACACCCGGCGCGCAAACCTCGTACTTCCAGGGAGTCGGTGTGCTGGCATGTGCAACACGTTGCCCAGCCATCGGAGCTTGGTGTGTGGCATAATAGTGCTGAGCGGTCCACTCTTTTTTCCTGCACCAAATACATAACATCGAACACATTCATTGCCCACTCAATGTTTCCATCAAACATGAGCTATGCTGGGAAGGTAACGCTGATCAAATGTAACCAGCCTCTTTATGTCTGTCGACTTGCTAGACCAGGTTTCGCAACCGCACAGGAGGGCTTAATGAACGGCTGTATTGCGAACTCTGTCCTTCATCGCGTAAGTGATATTGCGCCGGAGCCACAGGTGACAAAGCCGGCCCGTGGCCTTAAGGATCACAAGCCTGTGTTGTAGTCCGAGGGCGCGAGTTTAAGCCTGCGTAGGAGACCGGACGACCCTCGCAGTATCCTCAGCCCACGTGCGACTCATGATTGTTGCACGGCAGCGTAGCGTCGGTACGACCTACTGGCGTACTGCGCATGCCGTTATGAGGTTCCTGATTCGTCCTCTATTCCACTGGCGCTGCTCTAGCTGCCTAGATACTTGAATTTATGGACAGTTGGCTCATCACCACCAATGGTCCGCACAGGAGTGGGTCTTTGCCAATCTTGGTGAAGGACCTTGCTTCTCACGAGTGCAAGGCGTGGTCTAAAACCATTGACAGCCAGTGCTAACCTATCTAGTGCTGCTTGACATATTTGGGAACTGTCACGAATTGAGACAATACCGTCGGCGTTCTCCAAATCAAGAAGTCATTCACCTGGGAGCAGCTAAACACCCTTTAGGTCGGGTCCGGTGAATGCCGTTCCCACGATCGATTTGCGTCCATGACCAGTCCGAGGTTGGTAAGCGCCATGTCACCCTTCTGCCGGTGTTGTGCCGGATGTTAATGATTGCGAGAAATAGACATGCATTCTCACGGAGGTGTACTAACGGCTCACTATTTTCATTGCGCTAGCCTACACGGTGTTGTCCACCCAGATGCTGCTCACCAGTAAACAGTTTTCCAATTCGAAAGTTCAGTTCACCAGCAAGCATTATCGTGTCCACACTATTTCCGTAAGGGATGAGTTCGTTCAGTTGTTGATAAAGGTCACATTTCCTTGAGTAAGTGCTACGGTTTGTGGGGACATGGACTGTAATGACAGACACCTGTTGTCTGCACGCAACTTTAGAGCTTTAGGCGAGCCAACCAGACGGCGCACATGCGGCTGATGATTGGGGCTCAGTCTACCAGGACCGCTTCACCCCGGGGACTCAGTGCATTGCCCACCCCAGTTTGACTCTTATTTGTAGTCGCGTCATCTTCAGACAAACGCAATGAGAAAGTGCCGCCAGTGTCACTTGTAGATAATCGCAGGATGGGCATCAAGCTCGAATCTTGCAAGTGGGTTTCTCGTCGATAAGTTCTCAGGTGTTCAATCAAGTTCTGCCTGTTTGCCAATCTGTAACGAAGTGCGCACGTTGTGGCATGCCAGTCTTAACGAGGATCGGGGGTTCCAAAGAGAAGGGGATGAGCGGACGTTGTCCGCTTGGTTGCACATGTACTTGTCGATTAGACTGGAGCGAGGCCCTGCGGTTATATGTGAGTCGGAACTTGAAGATAAGCGACCACCGAAGGAAGTTAAGGTGGACCAAGGATTAGGTAGTTGAAAACAGGGGAATAAAAGTGAAGTTGGAAGTGGATGATAAGGATGAAAACGAAAGAAGGATGATGAGGAGACGAGAAGGGTGGTGCAGTAGCATCCTCACCCCTATTCGCGTTCATCGATACCGTCTGCGACGGCCAGCGCATCAAGAAATCGTGTAAGAAGAGCTTCCTTGTATTCTATTCCTTTAGCATGACAATGTTTGTCTAGGTTTAGATAGGAGGACGATTAGTGTTCTCAAACAAGGTCTGGTTCAAAAACCTGGCCGCAAGTGGAGTTTGGCACTCGGCTACAGAGAGTCCGTTTTATGGAGTGGGGAGCCATCCGCACTCCAACCCACAACCTAGAGGGCCATGAGATTGAGTTGTTCTGGCCTCTAACCACTCACCAATCTGGTAGGAATGATTCCGAAGGTGCCAAAAGCACCACCCGGCATAACTCAGTAGATTGTTAAGGCACACCAACAGTCGCGTCACATTTAGGCTCGCCTCGTCGCGATGAATGAATATGAAGCGGCTTAGTGATGATGTTAACGGGCTGTGTTTAACGAGCCGGATAGCGTTCACCATTATGACTTAGGGATCGGTGCTTCTTATGCTCGTTCAGTTATGTAAAACTTCATACGACCGGTTGCATGGACTAACGAACACTGCGTGCTGGCTGCCCGCCGCTCTTGCCTCCATTTTCTAACCCATCTGATTTTGCAGGCTACTGTACTACCTGATCCGCCGCGTTGTGCTCGTTACTGGGAGGGATTTTTCTTTATTTACTCAGAACCACTGAGCTTGAAGATATTTTGTTCCTGGGGTCAGCGTTGCTTAACACAGTCAACGCTCATCATTTTCACTGCATTTGGAACTGAGCCGCATTGCTGTATCCGGCATCACTCTTTTTGTGAAAGCAGATAATCAAACTCCCCTCGAAATTCCATGAAGAAGATGCTGAGATTGAGTTTGCTGTAGCTCTAGTCGTTTATCTTTTTCGTTTGATTGTCAGGATGCTTGGAAGGTGTCACACATTGGGGCTTAGTCAATCGTATGTTTAGTCCATTCTCCTCACTTTATTTTGTAGTTATTGTATGTTTCCCTATCGCTTTACATCACAACCTTCAACCGTAATCAGTGGATTAGTCTTTTTGCTTACTGATACGTACTTGATCAGGGGTCGCCTGGCTTGTTGCTCAATGTAACACATCATTGCGCAACAGATTCTCTTCCATCATCGGAGTCTATTCGCAGCCTCTCCAATTGGCTCCATAGAAAGCAGTACGGTTGCGTCTGACCTCTGAAATGGTATGGTTGTAGCTCTGTAATCACAGACACAGGTACATCCAATATTACCCGGTTGGCCCATAAGTATGCAATATATCGCGTCACCAGTATACTACTTCTTAGACTGTTTTTATCGTAATCATGTCGGTTCGAACCACTGTGACTTCAAATTCGACTTGTTTTATGTTGTTTGTTCTTAGGATACTAATTCGTGTTTTTGTTTTTCAGCGATTGGCTTAACCTTTAACTTTTTGTGCATTTTAGGATTTGTGAACTACGATCAAAAACACGCAACAACCGAACTTGGGGCGAGCGTTCGGTGACCGCATTCGATACATTGGTTCAAGTCGGTGAGGGTACCTATGGCCATGTTTACAAAGCCCGCGACAAAATTACAGGTAATTCGCTTCCCCTCGAGTGTCGAGCTCTTAGGGGAGTTTAAAGCCCTAAAAAAAGTTCGCCTTGAGAATGAACGGGAAGGCTTTCCTATAACGGCTGTACGTGAGATAAAGATATTGCGTCAGTTGAGACACCCTAACATCATCAACCTGTGCGAAATTGTCACCGACAAAGACGATCCGTCGGACTTTAAAAAAGATCGAGGTACGTTTCATGTTCCTTCCCCCGTCACTCATTTTAGGTGCTTTTTTCTTGGTCTTCGATTATATGGATCACGACTTATATGGTATCCTTGAATCGGGTGTTGCAACTTTCTCGGAGCAACAGATTGCTTCTCTGATGAAGCAGTTGCTTGATGGTCTCAGCTACTGTCACGAGAAACATTTTCTCCATCGGGATATCAAATGTTCTAACATACTCATAAACAATCGGTAACTTCTGATCATTAAGATTACATCTCGTCTGCTTTAGTGGTCAGTTGAAATTAGCAGATTTTGGATTGGCTCGGTTGTACGTTGCTGGTGATAAGGAAAGACCTTACACGAATAAGGTGATTACGCTATGGTACCGTCCACCGGAACTATTACTTGGGGAAGAACGTTATGGCCCATTTGTCGATATCTGGTCCTGCGGGTAACAAATTGCAATTACTCGCGATCTATTCCGCAGTTGTATCTTGGGTGAACTGTTTACTCGACGGCCCATGTTCCAGGCAAATGAAGAAATCGAACAGCTTGAAGTTATATCACGTATTTGCGGCCACCCGGATCCGGCAGTTTGGCCTAACGTAGAAAAGCTACCATTCTATGCCACATTCAAACCGAAACGTATGTACCGACGCCGTCTTCGTGAGGAGTACCACGTGTAAGTGTGACTTTTTTCTTTATATTCAATTGCAGTATTCCCACATTGGCTTTGGATCTGTTGGACAATATGCTACAACTCGATCCCCGTCGAAGGTGCACTGCTCGACAGGCCCTTGAGTCCCATTGGCTCCGCAAAGTAGACCCATCACGAATTCAACCACCAAAGTAATTGCGTTTAAGCGCCATTACCTTCCTACTTAAGGTTACCGATAGACCAGGATTGCCACGAAATGTGGAGCAAGAAGCGACGTCGGATGTTACGACAGGAACAAGAATTGAAAGCCCGAGGTGGAACTGTAGAATCGAAGTCAATATCTTCTGCAAAACCTCCAGGTACCTCTCCTATGAGTCTTATCAACACTTTTTCAGCTTCCTCTGGTCCATCCCAAGAGAATGAATCAAACGCACTAAGATCTTCCAATGATTTGAAAATCACAGACTCGCATATTGGCTCAATAAACCGCTTGCAACCTGGAGTACCTAAGCCTTCTTCCTCTGTTACAAATTCCTCGACTTCAAGGAGTTCAGCCACTACCGTGCAACCGGGGCAGACAAATGATGCATCTTTGTCGTCGATAGATAACCAAGACCTGGAGACACAGCTACAGGCTCTCTTAACAGATCTTGCTGATTCTGGAGTAGAGCATGTGAAGGATTCCATTATTAACGCGCTCAAGACTAATCCTGCTATTCTAGAGGGTATGCAGAATCTTCTGGGACCAATAGATCCCACTGAAAACGCCTCTAAAGTTTTGTCCTATGTGTTTACTCTCCTTTCTGAATTCGCCAACCGCGGTAACTCCTCATTCACTGCTGATACTATCATACAAACTGCTTCCCGCGTCATTTCCGATCCTGGTCGTCAAGCCCAGCAGAAATCTGGCCAGCACCGCGGTTCTCTCGGTGGATCCAGAACACATCAGCCTTGGAATCCCCCAAGACAGTAGCACTCGACTTCACGCATGTACAAAAGAATTGCCCTGCTCTCCTGTTCACAGTGGGTTGTACTCTTCTCAACCCCATTATCCTGTACATACGCATCAGAATTGTGATAGAGTTTGTTAAAATAATTTTTTATTGCCCATGCAGTTTGTCATTGGATATTTCTGTTATCGATGGGCCCGCTACTTACAGTCGTGGTGATTAAAACTACTTTCATTGTCATCATCAACTTAGTTATGCACCCGCTGTTCAAGCCGGGGTGTGCTTGATCACAAAATTACGGCTAAAGCTCGAATCGCCATATTAATAGGTTTGAGCGGACCCAAACTATGACTACGACTACCCCTATTAATGTTGACGAACAATCTGCATGTGCGTGTGTATACATATTCTGGCCTTTGTGCCGTCAACAATGTTGGTTTGCCACATTGGAAAACCTGATGAGCTGATAATAATTATCGCCGACAGCAACATTATTGTTTCAGTAATTCGAACTGGTGCTTCGTCGCCCACACTCATGACCTGGGGAATGAGGATGAGAAGGGAACTCAACGTAAAACAAACACTCCGGGTCAAGATACCTATGCATTATCAACAGCACGGTCAAAAACTGGTAGTTATCCTGCGAATATAAGATGTCATCGGCGAGAGTTTTTTTGCGTCTTTCACTACGCAGTCTTATTAGGAGACGACAGCAAGCGTGCTGCTGATGTCGACTTTGAAATCTGTCTTGCAAATTTTTAGTTTGGTGTATGGACTCCTGCCTGGGTAGTGATGTGAATTGACAGCACCTAATTTGGTCATCAGTGACTTCCTTTTCTCCTTCATCATCATCAACAGCAGTACCTCAGCCAGTTGAACTGATGCTTCGCTGCCATACAACCACGAGGATCTACGAAATAATGCAAAAAAGAGGGAGAGAAGGGGGACTTACCTGAAAACCTTAATGCCCTAAGCAAACACTCGGGGTCAAGGCGCCTACACCTTGTGTTAACAACATCCCGTCACAAACAGCGGGCTATCGTGCAAAGATAAGGCGGCATCGGCGAGACAGCTTCTTTGCGGCTTTCACTGCCACGCGTCATAATCAGCCATTACCCCGCAGATAACTCAGCACCAAACACACTTTAAACAGACAATCCGATTAGGAGACGGCAGCAGATGTGCTACTGGTGTCGGTTGCGAGCCATGTCCTGTAAACTCTCGAGCCAATCACAGGGCGTCAGGTGGACTCCAGCCCGGAAGGCGAGACAGACCAACAGCACCCAGTTTGGTCGTTAGTGACTTCATTTCCCGCTGCCAAGTCAACTTCTGTCCACCTCGAGCCTTGCGCCACCCTACACCCAGCAGACTAAACAAGGCCTTCCTAGGTAAGCGGTGACAAGGCATACGTAGCACGTGCCCGAGCCAACGCAACTTGTTCAGTGCTATCTGTTGTTCTAGGAAGTCAGCATGATTATCACCACCTAGTACTCGCCTACGCACATCATCGTTGCGGACACGCTGGTGCCATCCGACACCAGCAATGCTTCGCAAACAACGATGATCAAAGACTTGAAGGCGCCTCAGATCTTCAGACCGAAGGGGCCAAATCTCACTACCATAGAGCAGAACGACCCTCACCGTGGCCTTGTATACATGGCCTTCCAGATGGAGGGAAACTCCCTTCTGTCACCAAAGATGCCGCAGGTTCAAGAAGGCAACTAGGGCCTTTGCAATGCGTGAGCTGACGTCAGTTTCTATGCGCCCATCATTGCTGATGCAGCTGCCAAGATAAGGGAATTGATCAACCACCTCGAGTTCCTCGTTAGTAAGCGTCAACAAGTCATCAAGTGGCTGGTGGTCCTGCAGCAACACTTTGCACTTTGAAGGTGCGAAGTGCATACCAAATAATGAGATCAATCTAGGCAAGCTATTGAGGGTTGATTGTGCAGCCGAAACATGGTCGAAAAGCAAGACGATATTGTCCGCATAATCAAGATCAACTAATCTTCTACCAGGCAGCACTTCAACGCCTACATCGTGAGATTCCGCAAGCGAACACTCCATGATAGAACCCATGAAGAAATTGAACAAAACTGGAGAAATAGGACAACCCTGACGAACGCCACTTGTAGTCGAAAAGCTGTCGGATAGGACACATCATCATCATCATACACGTTAGCTAGAGGTGGGGAACACCTCAGCTACTGTGCCGCAATACACAGAAAAAAGGAGAGAAAAAAAGCATTCAACTGGGGCAGGCCGGCTGAGCTACCGGTAACGGACGGGCATCGTTCCGGTAAGCTACCAGCCGGCTACTGTGCATCAAAAAAATTCCTATGCAAAATTATGTAAGGTTAAATAATGAGATCGTGGTTGGAGGGGGAGGCTAAGAGGGATGGGGTGGGACAAAGAAACCCACAGCACGAACGCCACTGAGGTCGGCTCCTAGCCATATCAGCAAGTGTGTCCAACCAAACGTGTTCATCGTCTTTCGGACCCCAACCATGGAGGCGAGACGCTCCAACCGAGGCCAGCTCAGAAGTGACGGCCTTCATTCCTCTGGACCAAGTCATCGCTTGGCCACCCCTCCTCTTCTTCCATCCACACCCCTGGCCCGCAAACAACGCACGTCGCGGAAGTCGGTGGGCTGGCATGCGTAACACGTGGCCGAGCCATCGGAGCCTGGTGCGTGAAATAACGGTGCTGAGCGGTTCAGTTCCTTTTCCTGTGCCATAAACAAGGCGTCGAACACGCTCGTTGCTCATGCGGTGTTCCCACCAGATGTGAGCTAAATTACGAAGGCACCGGTGGTCGAACGTAACTAGCCTCTTCAGGTCCGCTGCTTTAAGGGGCCAGGTTTCACAACCGTACAGTAGGGTCGAACGTACCGCTGCATTGTACACTCTACCCTTCATGGCAAGAGTGATGTCGCGCCGGCGCCATAAGTGGCGAAGGTTAGCAAAAGCGCCCCTAGCTTTTGCTATACGGTTCGTGATCTCATCTTCAATCCCACGGGCGCTGATACAACTTCCCAGGTAGTTGAATTTTTGAACGAATTCTAGCTGATCCCCACCAACGGTCAGCGTAGGGGGCGGTCCAGACCAATCTTGGAGGAACGCTTTGCACTTCGAGGGTGCGAAGCAAAGCCCGAAGTGACGGACAGCTAGTGCTAATCTGTCCAGTGCCGCTTGGCACATTTGTGAGCTGTCACAGATTAGGGCAATATCATCAGCATACTCTAAGTCAAGAAGTCGTTCTCCTGGGAGTAGCTCCACACCTACTAAGTCGTGTCCTGTGAACGCGATTTCCATGACTTCGTCAACAGCGAAGTTGAAGAGGAAAGGTGACAGCGGGCATCCTTGTCTCACGCCGCTGGAGATATTAAAGGGCGACGACAGCTTGCCGTAAGCCCTCACTCTGCCCGAGCTACGAGCATATAATGCTCGGATAATATTCACATATTTCTCGGGCACACCTCTCCTGAGTAGACAGTCCCAAAGTGCATGTCTATCCACCGAATCGAATGCATCTTTGATATCGAGGAACACGACAATGGTGGGCCGCCAATATATGTGACGGTGCTCCAACAACTGACGCAAGGTGAAGATGTGGTCAATGCAGCCACGACCTCGACGAAATCCAGCTTGCTCTTCACGAATCTGGCTTTCACGAGTGCCAGTCAGTCTGTGAAGGATGACAGAGGCAAGCAATTTGGAGGCGATGGAGATCAGACTGATTCCTCTATGGCTGCCGCATTCCGATCGTGAGCCTCCTTTGAAAATTGGGACTATGACGGAGCGGCTCCAATCGGTTGGGACAGTTTCCTGCTCCCACAGTTTGACTAGTAACTCGTGTAAATCATCCACAAGAGCAGGTCCCCCGAATTTGAAGAGGGCTGGAGGAAGATCATCTGGTCCCGCGGCTTTATTTAACTTCAACAGTTCGACTTCTGAGCGAGAGGGTGGATCCAAAGGGACAGCCCACGGAGCGGGGCGATCAGTGGCCGGCGAGAAATCTAACAATTCCGACCGATTAAATTGCCTTTCAAAGTGCTCAGCCCAACGCTCTAAGCGTTTTGATAAGTTGTGGATAGGCTGTCCACTCTCGTCACGTATAGTTTCACTAACACCAGGTCTCCTGCTGCCCGATTCCCGTATCATCCGGAATAACTTACGATGGTTACCAAAGGCAGCGGCCATTTCCATCTCTGACGCAAGATGAGACCACCAGGATTCGCGGTCTCACTTCAGGCTAGCACGGAGTTTTGCCCGGAGCTCTTTGCGAGTTTCATTGTGTTCGCTTCCAGCCGGAATATGCCGGCGAGCATCGATAAGTTCCAGAGACTGTGAAGAAACCCAATGTCCATGTTGGCGATTAGACACACCACATGAGGATTTTCCTGCTGCTAGTAAGGTCTGGTGAATATGAGACCAGTGAGCTTCAATTGCATCCAGTGAGCGTTTATCCAACTCGCATGACAGCGTACTTTGATAGGCATTCAGAACAGCTGGCTTCGCCAGTTGGCTGGTGTCAATGCGCTCACAACGTCGTCGTGGGCGTCCGCCAAAACGCATCCGAATGTCAGCACATACAAGTGCATGGTCGGTGTCCACACCTGTGCTCCAAATCGAGCGACAGTTCTGGACGCAGCCTCTCCATCGGTAACTTATCGCAATGTGATCGATTTGCGTCCATAGCTGGTTCGAGGCTGGTGGGCGCCGAGTCACCCTTCGGCGGGTGCTGTGTCTGAAATTAGTGCTCGCAAGAAATAAGCGAGCATCCTCACACAAATGAAGTAACCGCTCACCGTTATCATTACGGGAGCCTACACCATGTTGGCCGCCCAGATGCAGCTCATCTGTGGATAATTTTCCAACTTGAGCGTTCAGATCCCCAGCCAGCACTACAGTGTCCGAGCTTCTTCTGTGGCTAAGGAGCTCGTTCAGTTGGCGATAGAAGTCGTCTTTTACCGAGTCATCGCTACAGTTTGTCGGTGCATAGGCAGCGATAACGAATAGACACCTATTAGTCCCACGCGACTTCGAAGCTTTGAACGAGCCAGCCAATCGGACCGCACACATCCGGCTACTGATTGGAATCCAATCAACCAGAGTAGCTTCAGCCCGGGGACTCAGGGCAATACCAACACCAGCTTGGCCGGTGCTCGAAGCTGCATCGTCACCGGACAGGCTCAACGAGAAAGTGCTGCTAGTGTCACCTGAAGGGGATCGTAGAGTGA